TAAAACAGCATTCATCCGTCCAGAGCACTTTGTTAATAAAGTTCTGCTGCACTTAGGAACCAATTGCAAAATTCAAGACGATTGGGGAAATCAGCTGCTTCTAAAGCTTGAACTTTTTGAAAATGTGTTATGTTAACTCCTTTGCGGGAAAAATGCGGGAGATATAGAGGGTGGTAGATTTGAATAAACGCTTTAAATTGTTAATGGTTTTGTAACCGTGTGTAGTGTATTTTGTATATTTGGGTATTTAGTAGTGAGCCGACTTTTTTATTTGATAAAATACAGTGTGCCTACAAACAGGCAACTACCTCTGCTTTATGTATGTTCTTTTAACGAAAGTTTACTTCGAGAAGTCAGGCTCGTTAAAACATTCTACACTAAGTTAATACAATTGTTAAAATTATTTATAATAAAATGCAGCAAGCTCCTTTATTTACTTGTATACGTTTAACAGTAAATGTGAACCACACATTATGATGTGAACTTGGCAACGCTGTTCCTTTAGCCGACAACTGTTCGTGACATTACGTTACAAAATTTTCCGAGCATCCGGGCATCGGCCAGGGCCCGCCCTCCTAGAAGTTTTCATAGTAAAAAATTTAATATTTACAATGTTAAATAGATAGTTAATTTAATTCGACTTACAAAATTCGTTTGCAAAACTCTGAATACATGGGCTCCTCCTAGTTCGCCTCTATATCTGTAAAATGTTTACAATGGTGGTCATGGTTATCGTCGCGCGGCATTGAAGGACGGAATGGAACTGGCGCATATTTACTATGCAGTTTGGGCACTGTTTAATCCGACCGTAACCTAATAAAAGCTATTCACCGCTTTTTTTCTTAATAAACGTAATTTCTCAGGTATGGTGTGAAATGTTGTTACTTGCATATTGTTGCTTGTGTATTTTCGAAAAAATTGAAAAAGTTTAAATTGATTGTGTAGCACTTGCAATACTATCTATTGAAAAATCAATTTCCACAAACACAGGCGCGACATCGTTTTAGTAACGAAAATCTATTGTTGCTTGCATCTGATGAAATACATATTTATTCTTTCTTCTAACTGCTCAGAATGTCAAAGTTGCTATCGCAGCATACTATGTAATTTTAAACTGCATTTTATTCGAATCTCGAAGTGCGTTTCAGTTCGTAATTTTAAGTTTTACCTACTCGAAAATCAGGCTTTTTTCGAAAAATATAATAGAGTAGTAATTTGTAGAAAACTGAAAGACGAATGAGAAAATTTCGTGATAGTTGCCGTAAAGCAGTGGCGTACTATTTTATTTAGAAAATTATGTTACCGATACCCTGTATCTCCGCCACTGGAGCATCTAAATTTTAGGAAAAGGCCTCAGATGTTTACATAAATACATGTGCCCCATTTCAAATTATTTCACTTACTAGTTGTTAAATTATTTAAAAAAATTAAAAACATACTCGTATAACTGTCAAATGCGCACAGTTTTTTAAAAAAATTTATGTTTTATACTTTTTAGAGGACACATATCACCCATTGCCTATTCTTTTCTAACCAACGATTACTTCTATTTTATTTTTAGTTTGTAATGTATGTTCTTAAATAAATGACATCAATGGTACGAAAAACATACATTTCTATTATTTCATTAACAATTTTCATAATTTTTTTTCTGTGCTTTCTTCCTGCTATTCATTTTTGTCAGACAATATAGGTACTTCTGGGTACTTATCTAACAAAATTAATGTTCAGCGAGACTTTGTTCCTATAGGATACCATTTCTTGTATAATAATAAACTAAATAAGAACGTCTTTTGTCTTTAATACCTTTTATTTTATCCCAACAAGTTTCATGATATAAAATGTCACATCTTCAGGCTGCAAAAAGGTATTACATATATATAAAGATTTGAGAGGTTTTGGACATATAATAGCATGTTAATAACAGGTAATTTATAACAATGTTGCCAACAATTGCAAGAATACCAAAAAATAATATTCTTTTAAATTACTAACATATTAAAAATTAATGCAACTAAATAACTATAACTAATTTTTTAATAAAAAAATGAAGACAGCTTAAAAATTGTATTCTCCTTCGACAGCCTATCATCAATTTGGTGTAATTAAATCAGTGACCTCTTTATTTTCAGATCATCATTTTAACTGGATTTCAATATATAATCCGGTTAACGTAGGATGCAAATCTAGACTCAATCCTCTAGTTTCATGTCATTCAGGTCAGACACTATAACTTAGACACGAATATGAACAATGTCAGCAATTCCTGTTCCTACCTTGGAAATTGGAGGGTTACTTATTTGATTCTGCAGTAGTGGCAATAATAGTATAGCTTGTAGTCTACGGGGTTGCTCAATTCTTTTTACTAGGCAGTATTCAGGATATACAGATTTAATGTCATTGGATTGGCTATATTTCATAATAAATAAACTTTCATTTAAATACTATTTGTCGTATAAGTTTCTGATGCAATCTCCTAATTCTGAATTACTGAGATCCTAATAAAGGGTGTCCGAAAAAAACAGGATATGAAATATGCGCCATTTTAATTCCGAAGGGTTGGCAGCCTTGTGCACTTGTGCAGGGCTATTGTTCATTGAGAAAATTCATTACAAAAAAAAACGACCAGTCACCACACTAGCATAAAATTCACACCACACTGTCACTTTCTGGGTATTCAGTAGTCGTTCTTGAATGACTCGAGGATTTGTCTCTGCTTCAAATTCGGCTGAACGGCCAATACAAGACCGGCCTGTTTTTTATTGCCTGCAACTGAACCTGTTTGTTCAAATCTTGGCAACTATTATTTTTACTGTTGTTTCATTCGGGGCGTTCTTTCAACTGCAATTTCCACGTCATTTGCGCACAGTCTCAGATACACACTCTCCGTACTTGTATTGAATTTTTACAATCTTCACTCGCTTATCCGTCGTATTCCGCCCCATTTTGTCTAACTGCAACGTATTTGTGACATGTGACAATATGTGATCTGCACAATGCTGCCAACTCGTCAGAATGAAATTGACGCATAATTCAAATCATGCGTTACTTTTGGGTCACCCTTTAGTATGGAGTAGATATAGCGCGTCCCAAAAATAATTATAGAGATAGATCCCTTCAAAATTCCAAGGTATTTTGCAATACTTTGCACGGTATGTTTTAATGTAGAAAAAAAAACAAAATCAACTACTGAGAGAATATATTGATAAGACAATTGGAATAAAAAAATCTATGCAAGTTTTAGTTGATTTTGTTTTGGTACTGGTCCTTTCTATCCACACAGCACTCTCTGATGTATGTTAAACTGCATGAAAAATTGAATTGCTCAATGTCTTGATGTTATGTCACCCATAACAAATATAAAATTATTATTTATTATTCTTTCATTTCCTTTTTTTATATTACGTGCTCCCGAGTACTTCTATTTCCTTAAAAAAAGCAAGACTAATGGTTCCTGCGTTTATATTACAAAACATTATTAATGAGAATACGTCTTTTACTACATTTAATTATTGTGTCTAATAATTAATAAAACCATTTCTTTCCTCGAATTAACAATATTAATATACCACACCTTCTCTCGCACGAGCTTTGACTTCTACGCTGATCTTTGTAGTTAGAACTAGGACATTAACCGCTGAAGGTACCACGGGTGTTATAGGATAACAAGGCCCTTGATTGATGTTACAGCCTTCGAATCAGAGATTTCGGAAAGTACACTGCCGACATCGGTATATTATTATCCATATAACACCTTAATTACTATTAAATTGCTACTGCGATGCGGATATTACTGAAATATAGTCTTAAAAATGTATTTCTGGTAACTTACTATGTTAAATGTTGTATTAATAGTACTCCCTCTAACAGATTTAAGTATACGTGTTGTATAACTGGTTGCATACTAAAGTTTTTAAACACATGCATTAAATAACGACTTTCTAAAGATCACTTAAAGAGATGCGATAAATAAATATAACATAATTAATTGGATTATGATTTAGACTGGATCTGTGTCTTACGTACAATTATTACAATGTTGTTCCTCCACCTGACTCTGATAACTTTCAGGCAACCACCTGCTCCACTTTTGGTGGAAGACCCTCCGAGTAGCGAAGATGGGTCAGATCTGGAAGACGTAAGACAGCTTACAGACCCCGCGCTTCTCAATGGGTAAGTCCACTATTTTTCGAAAATAAAATGGTATTGCTATTTTGTAATAATCAAAAGAATAAATATTTCTAGACATTTCTGAAGTTGATGAAAATTAGAACAAATGTTTGATGAGAAGTTTATTTAGCGTGTCTAAATTATATTTTTCCTTTATGCGGCAAATAACTCTTACACGTCCATTATGTTTTTCATTGACCATTTAGCGATCGCATTATTTCGAGCGTAGACGTAAGGGTTTGTCATTGTTCATTGTAAACGAATCGTTAGTATTGGTGACGCTAGGACTAGGGATTTTTAGTTGACACTATCATCCGTGCAATGTTGGTTGCCTAAGCTCGGGGGTCACGTGGCTTGTATATTTTTATGTATATACATACACTGATATCGATGACTGAATGCTCGCCGCAGGCTGTTCATGGCAAATATTTATTAGTTACAGAAAACAGGTAAGTAGTGGCGCACGTGGAACTTTACATTTTAATCCTGACTTTATTTTTGATTAAAATGCATTTACGCGCATATATGCATAAAAATGCATTTGATAAAAATGTTTTTACTAACATGTTGTTCTTTTATTAAAATTGCGAATTTACAAACAATTGTATGAATCAAAGTACGACCCTGGAATGTACGGTTGACTTACGGACCTTAGTTACTAGTAAGAAAATTTAAAGACAGCGAACGTTAAGTATTAAAAAAATGTAAGGAAAACTATTTTATATTTTATATTCTTTGACTTTCTTAGTAATAAATCTAAAATGATCTGATTTACTTTTCTGAGATGTACAGAAAACTATTAAAGAATGTGTTTTTCTAATATATTTTGAAACATTGTTTTCCATTGCCTAGTCATTTTTATTCATTGTTTATAGTGTTAAAGTAGTAGAAGAAATTGTGCATAATGTACGTGTTAAAAGGGTTTTCATTTTATTCTCACAAAACAGGAACTGACACTTTTAAGACTAACATCAGTAACAACAATTTTACAACTAGCTCACGCCTAGCTCTGAGTTATTAATATTTTTTTTAGTAAGTATTATAGCATTATAAATCTTCTGCTATGTTTTGAATCTGGTTTTTATCATCTTAAGCGTGCAGCTTCCGTATCGTAACCATCATATTTATTTTTAACAAAAATGCGCGTAAAACTTATTTTTAAGGATACAAGGTAATAAAAATTTAAAATTACCGATATAAACGTGTGAACAATAAAACACTTTTCTTCATATAAGTAAGCATTAATTTACGAGTATTATGATTGGCAATGGCAATAACGACAGCAGTGGCGTTTAACTACTTTAGTGGTTTTGCTGTTTATTTTGAAACATATTAAACTAAAGAAATGATGACCTACAATGTATTGTATCTAAAACCGGTTAAAGATAAAGTCAAACGACAATGACATAATTTGTATATTATCAACTGCTTGCATATCAATCACACCCGTACACCCGCTATTTGTTTTACGAATGAAGGGAATAATACACAGTGGAACTTGGTCGATAGTGATTTGTTTCCTTTGTTTTTATCGCCCCCTGGATAGCCCCTATCGAATAACATTCATATGTTGAAAAGTGCAAATGGTGTTTCATTGTAAAGCTTTGGTTGATATTTGGCAAGGGTAAGGTATGCTTTCGAATGTACTGATGTGCACCATCCACACAATACGACATTTTCGACTATTCGGAAGTCCATAATAAACTGCATTTGTTTATGTTTGGCTAATTGGAGCCGGATTAACAGAAATAAAATTTTATTATATTTACAATGAATATAACAGGACATGCGTTTTCTTTCGTCTACAAAATAATGCATCACTTTATTATTATATTTAACTACACTTCTATACACATATTATAATCAAACCGTTAATAATATAACAATGACTTAAGTAAATATTTTTGTCATTATGTTCAAACTTTTCTATTTACCAAAAAAATCTAGAGCATTAAGATACGCTTCTTCGAATTGTTTTTGACTTCCTGAGGTTACGTGACAGAAATCATAATTATGTATTCAAGATATCAACATTTCTACAAGGAAAAACGTACGTTGATTAGTTGCGTCTTAATATAAAGTGTGACTTAATATTTACAAATACATTCGCAAAAGCATTTTGAAATGCTAATAGATTGTCCTTCTAACTCTTTGAATTAAGCTGGCATCGATGAAGGACAAAATATGTGCTAGATTCGTCATAATTTTACTATATCGTTCAAATTTAAATTAAAACCTTGTTTGAAAATTTAATTCCCTTTAGAACTGCATAAATTTGTAGTTTATAATCGACAACTAACATTGGTAAAAAAAAATAAATTTCTTTAATGCTACAAATTAATTATATATGTTTACATTTTAATTTTGTCCGGTAATCAAGAAGGCATTGTGACGTCATTTAGTGCGACCGACAACACAACCTTCAAAGTGAATTTGGCTGTCTCTAGAACTCTAGACTCTTGTACCTATGCATATACTGTCAGGCAGTGACTTCCCTGTCATTTATCTCCCCGATCGTCGAACACTAATTGACGTCACGAATTAGCGTGCACAATCACAGTTGCACTAATTTATAACCAAAAACTATGTTGGTTAAGTCAGGTTCGATTCAAAGTAAGTGAACCAAATATTAATAAAGTGTAATTAAGTGTAATTAATTAAAGTGTAATTCGACACCATTAGTTATTTTAGAAATTCAATCACTGCTTGTAACAATGGCGGCTTGTCGTATGAAGAAACTGACGTCACTGTAAAATTTTGCTCTCACACCTTATATTATAATACCTACTATTCTACTGTTAACCTAAATAAACAGTTAGGTAAACAAATTTCCAATTACCTATTACATTTATCAAAAATCAAAATAACAGTATAAAATAATTGTTTGAATATTAAATATCTCGCCGCTCGCCGTTTCGGTCAGCGAGGCATTGTCTACTGTTACTCCCCACTAGTCCCCACCACAGTGAGGCCAGAATTTCTTTGCTTGTGGGCGCGTTACACTTGCCTATAATATGCTTTCCCCCTCCATGCGAGGCGGTTAAAATAACGTTATTTACAAGGGAACTCAGGCCTGTTCAAAGCTGTTTATAGTTTCAGTAAGCGGTTAATGTACGCGTCGCATAGTACGCGGGTAGTGTCTGATGTCAGTGTAAGGGACAGTACAAAGGCAGGTATTAATTTAAAGTAAATAAATGCGAATGAAAATCCTGCTCGCGAACATCAGTTTCTTTATAATATACAACTAAAAATTTACAGATGGATGTAGCCGTTTGACCTTGAAAATTTAAAAATATTTCTATGCGGCGCTTTTTTTCTTCTTTCTTGCCCACTTAGTAAAAAAGCCACGGGTCTTACCTATGCACAATGTCACGAGCCGCTACTGGCTTGTAACTATTTTACTATTCTAAAATGATCTACATTCTTTAACTTAATAATAGCTTTTGAAATTTGTTTTAATTCAATGTTTGTGCAGTTAAAAAATATATGTGGTGTGCAAACCAAACGATTTTTCATGCACGCACCAGATAAATCTGCATAGTTTGGTCTACACTAGTAACAAAAAATCGTAATGGTAGCTATACACGCAGATATAAATCATAAACGGTTTATTATGATTTATCTACCGTGTGTAACTGGTATTACGATTTTTACGTTTTCATCCGTTTTATATCCGTTAACTACTAACGTCAATCACATCCACTGTGCTCACAATCAAAATTTAAAACCAGGAAAATGAAGAATGATCAACTGTTGAACCCGAAAATACACAATTGTGACACATTTCTTTAAATCACATCTAGCTAAAAAATGTACCTATGTTTCCAAAAGTTGCACAGCTCGTTCTCGTGTCTAATCACCTAATATTTCAATTCTGTCACTGCGCTTTCTATTAACAATTTCCGCGAAATGACAGCACTTGGCATAATTGCTTTTTCATCAATTACAAGCACGTTAAAGTCCAGCAATAACAACTATTGCAACATTATCCATGAGGACGGGTCCGGCCGTTTCCGAGGTCGCCCAGGTCAAAGATTACCAGCGTCACAAGCTAACAGCTAAGTTTTAACAGCGCTTCCTTAGTCACTATTTTTTCCGTTGAACCGTTCCTGACGATCGAGAGAGCGCTGTTATGGCGAACAATTAATTATGAAACCGATTTAAATTTAATGTGTTGGACCCACTCTGTACGTTGAAGATAAGTCCGTAATAAAATATTTAAATAAAAAGACGTTATCAACGCTCACATCGAAACAAGGTTGAATTAGTCGTAATAATATTCGTGAAATGTTAACATATAATTTCAATTGTGTTAAAATGGATGTAAAATAATTTTGTCTGCTATTGTGTATTTCTATCAGTTAAGGTAAATTCAATAAAAAAAAAGTAGATTAATAACTCATTATTCATTTCATTTTCATCAAGCCTCAGTCTATACACAACTGACTAACGATTTTGAAGAGCTAGGTTAGGTAATTTATGATCTTGAATTAATTTTTTTAAACGTCTCCACATATTTACATTTTCTAATATTAAATTTTATTATCATCTACTGTATTCGACGGTAATTTGTTTCATTCAATTAACTCGCAGTACATTAATTAGAACGATAATTCTGAAGCAGTTAAAAAAAATTGAACAAAAAAAATGGGGAACCATTCTTGAATGTATTATAAACCAAAATAATCTCAACATTTATTTAAAAAAAAGAATGCAAAACTAATTTTCAATTTGTTTATTTCGGATGCAAAAAGCATAGTCATGCCCAGTGCAATTAATTATACAAACAAACCCAAAAGGTTTTTTTTGGAATAAACTAACTTTTCCACGACTATTATAAATAAAATCCATTTGATAATTTGGAAATCATCATATAGGTACCTATTGTGAATAAAGTAGTCTAAATTATTATGAATATACATGGTAAGTCGGAATAATCGCATTGGACTCCAGGAAATTATTCTTTCTCGTGGAATGCCCAATTGAGTAGCAATTCTTCGTGA